CTTGCCCCCCCCCCCCCCCTGCCGCCCCCGAGCCCGCCGCTCCTCCTCCTCCTTGCGGCACGCGGCCTCCTGGGGGGGTAAATGGGGTGAGGAGGGGGCTTCGGGGGGAGAAATGGGGGTTTGGGGCAGGGAAATGGGGGAGAAATGGGGGTTTGGGGAAGGGAAATGAGGGTTTGGGGCAGGGAAATGGGGGAGAAATGGGGTTTGGGGAAGGGAAATGGGGTTTGGGGCAGGGAAATGGGGGAGAAATGGGGGTTTGGGGCAGGGAAATGGAGGTTTCGGGCAGGGAAATGGGGTTTGGGGCAGGGAAATGGGTCCCTGTGCCCCCCAAACCTCCCCATTTCCCCTTCCCCAGGCCCCCCCGTTGTGCCCCCCCGCCCCACTGACCCGTGCTGAGCCCCCCATGAGCGGGGGTGGGTGGGTGAGCAGGTACTCCGTGGCCTGCTCCATGGTGTTGGTGTTGAGCAGCGCTTCCATGGCGTGTTCCCGAGAGAAACCCATGTCCATCAGCTGGGGGGGCACAGGGGGGGGCACACAGAAGGGTCAGGGGGGCACAGGGAAGGGTTTGGGGGGCATTTGGGGGCACTGGGAAGGGTTTGAAGGGCACAAAGAGGCGTTTGGGAGGCATAAGGAGAGATTTGGGAGGATTTGGGGGGTGCAGGGAGGGATTTGGGGGGCACAGGAAGGGGTTTGAAGAAGCTTTGGGGGGACCTCCCACCCCCCATTTTTCCATCCCATCCCCCCATTTCTTTGCCCCACTACTCAGTTTCTGGCCTCCCACCCCAATTTTTCCATCCAACTTCTCTTTTTTCTGTCCCACCCCTCCGTTTTTGAGCTCCCACTCCCCATTTTTTTGTCCCACCCCACTTTTCCCTCCCACCCCCATTCTCCCGTTCCTCCCATTTTTCCATCCCACCCCCCATTTTTTTCCATCCCACACCCCATTTCTCCATCCTACTCCCTATTTTTGTCCCACCCCATTCTTCCCTCCCACTCCCATTTTTTTGTCCCACCCCATTTTTCCCTCCCACCCCCATTTTTTTCCCTCCCACTCCCCATTTCTCTATCCCACCTCCCCAGTTTTTAACATCCCACCCCCATTTTTTTCCCTCCCACCCCCCATTTCTCCATCCCACCCCCCATTTCTCCATCG